GTAGAGGCAGGGTCTTGCTATGTTGCCTAGGCTGGTCAAACTCCTTAGCTCAAAGGATCTCCTAGCTGTGGCCTCCCAAAGTACTGGGATTACAGGTATGAGCCACTGCACCTGGCCAAAAGCCCTGTTTTTAAACCCAATTTAGTAATACCTGGTGGTGGCTGGGTGTGGTGGCTCATGCCTGTAATCTCAGCACTTTGGGAGGCCAAGATGGGTGGATCACATGAGGTCAGGAGTTCAAGACCAGCCTGACCAACATGGTGAAACCCCATCTCTATTAAAAATACAAAAATTAGCCCAGTGTGGTGGTGGGCGCTTGTAATCCCAGCTAGTTGGGAGGCTGAGGCAGGAGAATCACTGGAACCTGGGAGGCGGAGGTTGCATTGAGCCGAGATCGTACCATTGCATTCCAGCCTGGGTGACGAGAGTGAAACTCTGCCTGTAAAGAAAATAACAATAATTTTAATACCTGGCCATGAAAAAGGCAGAGCTGGAGCTCATGTCTATCATATAGTGTCAGATACAAAAAGAAGTGGCGGAACAATGTGTATGGCATGAGTTAACTTTTGAAGGGAATACATCGTACGTGCTTGTATAAGCATATCTGGAAGGTTGCACACTGAGCTGTTTAGCAGAATCATTGGGGAATGGGACTGAGCATTGGAATGGAGAGATGGTGGACATTTTCACTTGTTTTTCTATTGATTGTTTGATTTTTTTTTTTTTTTACTAATGATTGGTTATCATTACCTTTTCATTTCACATTTTTAAACGTTGACAGACACTTTAAATATATGGCCTTGAATTTTTTTTTACTAGATTGTATATGTCTGTTCTTGCTATTTAACTTTCTAAAGAAATTAAATGAATATTTTCTCTCATGTTTAAAATTGGGATGTACAATCCTGATCTTTCCAACCTGCTATATCCCAGGCTGAATATAGTGGTTTTGTGCTTAATACTCACTCCAGCCTTGCAAGGTTAATTATTTTCATACCCACTTTTCATCCGAGGAAACTAGGGTTCAAGGTCACATGGCTAATGAGTGGCACAGCTGAAATTCTAACACAAACTGACTCCAAAGTGCATGTTTGTTTATGAAGCTTCCCTGATGCCATCTTTAAGATTACATTTAACCTCGTGCACATAACTTAAATTTATTTTTTATCAATACATGCTTGTACATACAATTTTATTTTATTTTATAAATTAATTTATTTATTTTGACATGGAATCTCACTATGTTGTCCAAAGTGCTGGAGTGCAATGGCACCATCTCGGCTCACTGAAGCCTCTGCCTCCTGGGTTCAAGCAATTCTCCTGCCTCGGCCTCCTGAGTAGCTGGGACTGCAGGTATCCGACAGCACACTGGGCTAATTTTTGTATTATAAGTAGTGATGGGGTTTCACCATGTTGGTCAAGCTGGTTTTGAACTCCTGACCTCATGATCAGTCCACCTCGGCCTCTCAAAGTGCTGGGATTACAGGTGTGAGCCACCGTGCCCGGCCAACAATTTGATTTTAAAATAAAACATTTATATTGTACAGTAATCTTTTTGGTGGTCTTGGCGGGGTGCTCGTCCACCCGAATGAGCAAAGCTTAGGTAAGACCTTAAGGTGTGCTGTCTTTTATGCAAATTACATTCAAGTGCAGCCACAGCAATTAACCAATCTATTCAGAACTCCTTTTAGAACAGAGGTTTGTAAAATACTCTAAGTTTATAGACTTATAACACCACAATGTGAAATGAAGTCTGCTACAAAACTCTCAAGAGCTTCACCCCAATATAATCACTGGGGAGAAGAGTATATATCTCACTAGCCTTTTTGTTTTTCTCTTTTCAAGGAGTCTGTTCTTGGCGGAATCTTCCAATTAGAAACGGAATTTCTCTGTTGCTCCAGAAAGTGAAATTTATAGCTAACAAGAGGAAATGACAGGGAACTCTATTCCATTATGATGTAAGAAAGACTTTGGTAGCAATTAGAACAAGCCAATAATGGGGAGAGGGCTGTCTTGGCAGATGCTGAGATCACCGTCACTCACAGGATTGAAAAAGAGACTAGGGGAGCATCTGACTTGCTATAGAAGGGATTTCTGTCTCGAATAGAAAGTTGGACTAAGCCATTTTAAATTCTGCATCTTAACTGTATTTGTGTTTTGTTTTGTTTTGAGATGGGCTCTTGCTCTATTGCCCAGGCTGGAGTGCAGTGGCATGTTATGAGCTCACTGTAGCCTCTACCTCCCAGGCTCAAGTGATTCTCCTGCCTTAGCCTCCCAAGTAGCTGGGATTACAGGTGTGTGCCACTACACCTGGCTAATATTTGTATTTTTAGTAGAGAAGGGGTTTCACCGTGTTGGCCAGGCTGGTCTCAAATTCCTGACCTCAGGTGATCCACCCACCTCAGCCTCCCAAAGTGCTGGGATTGCAGGCAGGAGCCACCATGCCCAGCCTTTATTTCTTATTGATAAGACTAGTATGTGGTCTTCAGGAAGATCATCCCTGAGATGATAAACGCTATGATCCAAATTAACTCCACAGTTGTGGTATGGGTTATAAAACTGGTTCATTTTTGAAAGTTTGGATTTTAAAGACCGTCAATCAATTGTTTAGTCCTAATTAATTTTGCTTGAGAACATCTGACATAGTAACAGAAGTACCAATTAAAATTGAATGGTGGTGTAATCACCATCTCAAATATTGAAAGAATGTGATTATATAACATCTACCAACAAGGTTGAAAAAATACACTTAGAGAAATAGATGTGAAGGAAAAATAAGTATTGCTTCAGGGTTTGGAAGATGCAGTTTCTTCTTCATCTGCCTCCCAGATTTCAAGATTCAAGACAAGCTCTTACTGGCCCCTCCCGCTGACATCTGACAGCCCCGCACACCTAGGCAACTTTGAGCTGAGATATGCCCTCCAGGTGTCTGTGTCGATCATAATCACACAAAGTATGGTCTGTGCTTTCTTTTAAAGTCAGTCTGTGTGGGGTCCTCCCAGTCACCTCCCAAGCTGGGCTGATGTGTTCACATTGGGGATTTCTCATTCAACCCTGGGGTGTTGGCAACACCAAATCAAGACAGACTCGTTGAGAGCCTACTATGTGCCGACTGATACCTCCCACACCTCTGTTTACATCCCCATTTATTTCCTAGAAAGTCTACACACTTCTATTCAACACAGGCATCGCTTCCTGGAAATCCCAGAGATATACCAGATTTAATGTGTCCCAGACAGAGCTCATTATCTCTCCCCTGAAGACGACTCCTGCCAATTAATTCTCTTTCACTGGTACCCAGATCAGAAACCTGGCCTTTGGGTTGTCTGCCTCCTTTTTCTTCATCTTGCATATTTGCAGTGGTCATATTTTGTTATTTCTTCTTTTATCCAAGCCCTAGAGAAGGCATCAGAGCCGGGCACAGTGGCTCATGCCTGTAATCCCAGCACTTTGGGTTGCTGAGGTGGGTGGATGACATGAGGTCAGGAGTTCGAGACCAGCCTGGCCAACATGGTGAAACCCTGTCTCTACTAAAAATACAAAGATTAGCCGGGCATGGTGGCACGTGCTGTAATCCCAGCTACTCAGGAGGCTAAGGCAGGACAATTGCTTGAACCCTGGAGGAGGAGGTTGCAGCAGGGAGCTGAGATTGCACCATTGCACTCCAGCCTGGGCAACAGAGTAAGACTCCGTCTCAAAAATAAAACAAAACAACAAAAAAAGTATGAGAATGTCCATACCCATTTTTCAAATATTAAGAACCTTCCATACAGTCAATGAAGAGCCACTGCTCCAATCTCCCGACATGCCCCCCTGCCCAGCACTCTAGCCCTGCCCCCATCCTCTGGCTCTTCCTAAGATCCAGCAACCAAATGGCTAATGTCTGTCACAAGGAGGGGGCTTCCAGGAATTTGCTGCAACAAAAGGTCAGTTTTGTTTGGCTAGGACCTGGAGTCCCTTTCCTTACTAGGTGGCCGCTGTGCTCTGGGCCCCCTTTCTCATTGGACACAGTGGCGCAGTGTCTAGGCCTGCTGTGCTTTCATTTTAGACAGTTTTTTATCTCAGTCTGTCGCCTAGGCTGGAGTGTAATGGAGTCATCTTGGCAACCTCTGCCTCCCAGGTTCAAGCAATTCTCATGCCTCAGCCTCCTGAGTGGCTGGGATTACAGGCATGCACCACTACACCGGACTAATTTTTGTATTTTTCGGTAAAGACAGGATTTCACCATGTTGGCCAGGCTGGTCTCAAATTTTGGCTGATTCCCAAAGTGCTGGGATTACAGGCATGAGCCACCACGCCCAGCTGACTTTTACTCTTATTAAAGGATGGGGTTCACGAAAGCAAAAGCGCATAGGGCCCAGTGAAATCCCGGTGCATCCTGCTCGAAACTCCAAGTACTGTGCTCCTCCCTCTCCTCGCCCTCCTCCGCCCACTTCCTTCCTCTTTTGCTCACTTTTCTTCTCCTATTCACAGTTGTTGATCACCTACTGTGTGTGCCAGCTCTGAGGACTTAGAAACAAGGAGACCCCACTCGCTGTCCTCAGGGTGCTGCCAGCCCAGTCGGCACAAAGATGCAGACATGACCAACTGTGGTACCCTGGGGCCAATGCCCACAGGAGCCCAGGAGCGCCCAGAGAGAGAAGCCTGCTCCAGCCACGCAGGGTGACGGAGGTTGAGATCGCGCCATTGTACTCCAGCCTGGGCAACAGACTCTAGACAAGCACCCCAGTGCCCCTGCAGACCTTCCGTCACCCAGGATGGGAAGGCACAGCACTGGGGTTTGGCATTCTCTTCTCAGCCCTTCCGTCTCCACACCGCCAATCCCAGCACTGTCTGAGATGGGTCCCCTTTTCTGATTTTAGAGGGCTAGTGAGGATTCACTCTTGGTGGTATCAGCCCTGGCTGTGAGAGCGTCTGGGTCCCTCACAAGGACCAGTATCACTCACCTCAGAGGAGGCCTTGAGAAGGCACTCCCCTTCCCTGGCAGTGGAAGGGCCCACCTCCGGGGGGGAAGCAGGGGGAGGGGGCACGGGAGACCACAGAACTCAGCCACAGGCAGCTGTGTGTGCTTTGGTGGTAGAGGCCTCAGGCGCCCCAGGCAGCTGGAGTGGCCACCACACTGGTGCTCAGACCTTAGCAGGTGGGAAGACAGGGGCGAGGACGGTTGTCCAGGCGTGATGCTGGCCTGCTACCCCAGCAGCTCCTTGTTCTGCATCCCATGGCAGCCTCCCTTGTCTGTCTTCTCTTCTCCCCTCTACCTCACCCAGACCATTGGCCTCAAAGTCTGATCCTGCTGCAAGCATTTCCTGTGTGCCCTCACCTCAGAGCCTCTCCTTCTCCAGCTAGGATGTATGACATCGAGGTCCTCAGAGTTCTTCAGTGAAAGCCAACTGTATTCCTCCAGCTGGAATTACTTGTGACTTTCTCTGTATTCCCAAAATGTGCACAAAACTTATAAAGGTGTGTGATGGCCCTTAGATATTTTGGTATGATTTAAAGTTAATTGCATGCATGTGTCTTGCTGCCTGGGTCAATTTCTTTGAGATCAGTGACCACATGTGACCTTTGCCTTCCCAGAGACCAGCATAGACCCATCAGTGAAGCCTGTTCTCAAAAAACGCTTGTAAATGACTCACTCCTACTGGGGTCTGGAAGACGACGGATTCCAGATCAAGTTGCTTGTTGCCTCATTTGTCAAATTCTGCCTGTATGTCGGCTGTTCTTCCTATGACGAATCTGAAGATCAAAAACAGGAAGAAACAACCGGCCTGCAGGACAAGTGCATCCTTCTCAGACCACCCTCGAATTCGCTCAAAGCAGGAGATCAGCCTGAGTAGCATTCAGCAACAGGCATGCACGTGGGGAACTCTGCTCTCCCCTCTACCCTGAGGGGAAGCAACAACGCCCTTCCTGCCTGGAGAAACTCCTACTTCATCTCAGATAGCAGTTCCTCTGCAAAGCCATCTTCCACTCTCTCATAAAGAGTCCATCGTTTCTTCCTCCACATTCTCTCTTGCCTCTATTAAGGTGTTGAGCAGATAGCACTGAAACGATCTCCTTGCGTATTTGGTATTTTCCACTATGGCAGACACATATGGAAATCAGTTCTGGGAGCAATGGTTTAAAAGGAGACAGACCACCCAATATCCGGAGAAGAGCAGTCAGGCTAGGGAAGGACCGGGAAACCCATGCCCCATGAGCAGACTGAGTGTTGAGTTGGTCCCAGACGTTGCTGCGCCTCAGTGTAATTATCAGTAGCTCTGAAGTTCACTCTCAAAAGTGTCCTGGTTTAGTCCATCACATATAGAATCACCCTCCATATGAGAACTATGTAAAGAAACCACAGGGGTTCAATCCACGGGAGACTTGGGGAGTCCATTACTGTCTTCGGTCATTCAGGATGCCGTCACATGCTCTGTGTGGCCTCAGAGGACCTGTGGGAGAGGATGATGTAACGAAAGCTTTGCCCATAGTCTCTGTTTTGTTTACTGTTGGGCACCCAGGACTTGGCACCATTCCTGGAATATATTAATCTGATAAATATTTGTAGGAGAGAAGAAGGAAGGTGGGGGGAAGGTACAATCTGACAAAGAGCTGATTGCATTGCAGGCCCTGCCCCCTCAGTCGGGGTGCCCACCAGAGGCTAAAAGGTCCCTTGCTGGGGACAGCATGGATGGTATGTGGGCTGAATGGCACCCCACTCCCATGAAAAAAACATATCCAAGTCCTGAACCCCAGTACCTTAGCATGTGACTAGATCGGAAATCTGGCTGTTGCAGGTGCACGAGTTGACATGAGGTCATGCTGGAGTAGGATGGCTTCTAATCCAATGACAGGTGTCCTTACAGAAAGACAGTCATGTGTGGGCAGAGGCCTACAGGGAGAAGCCCACATCTAGACAGGCAGAGGCTGGCATGGTGCAGCTACAAACCAGGGACTCCCAAGATTGCCAGAATACCACCAGAGTCTAGGAAGAGACAAGGAAGGGCTGCCCCGTAGGTTTCAGAGGGAGCCTGCCAACACCTTGACTTCAGACTTCTACCCTCCATAACTATGAGAATACATTTCTGTCATTTAAGCCATCCGGCTTGTGGGCGTTGTTTATGCCAGCCCTAGGAAACTAACGTGGAAGGAATTCTGCCTTGGGTGGGAAGATGCATGAGATGGATGATCTGTGGACTCACTAGACTTCCATCTCAGAGCCAGGCAGCAGTGATGGATTTGCCTCAGGCAGCCTTGCAGACCCACTGTGTGTCATCGAGCTTCGCACTGGTGATCTGCACCCAGGGAGCCAAGCACAGGCTCATCCGAGCTAACTGTAGCACCAGCATCCTGAAAGCTCCCTTCTCTGTCCAGCCGGTCCTGGGCTCAGGACTCTGACTCCTGGAACATCAGACCTCGCGGAAATTCACAAAGACACCCAAGTTCACCCCTCCCTCACACTGCCAGATTCCAGGCCCCGAGGCGTGGGGGATACCTGGACTCTTTCCCTGCTCTGTGCTCTTTCCATGTTGTTATAAGAAATAACTTTGTGGTCTACTCATTGTTTTGCAAATAACCCCCAACCCTCCCACCTACAGGAATCCCCTTTGCCAGAAATTCCTCACCCCAGCCTTCTCCTCTCAGCCTGCCAAGACGTACTCAGATGGGAGACCACTCAGATAGGAGACCGGGGGATCCCTGCTTCCCTCCCTCCCCAACTCTGCCCACCTTGCAGAATCCTCTGGCCCCACCACCAGGCAGTCCACCTTTACCTGCCACTTGTCACGGGCTACTTTGCAGGGGGCTAATGACATCTTATTCTTTCAGCTCTATTCTTGTTCCTGCTAGTCATTCAATCACCTACAAATATTTATTGAGAACCTACCTTATTCCAGAAATTAAATTGTGAATAAGACCCAAAAGGCTGTAGTGTGGGTGGGAACATGGATACTTCAGCATTCACTTACAATACAGAGTGCCAAGCAAGAAAAACTGGAAAAATGCAGGCTGCCCTTGAGGTCAGAGCTGGAGAGGGTGGTGGGGAACAGTCAGACAGTCCGCAAGTGCCCCAGGCCTCCTCCCAGACCTCGTTCCTCACCACTGACCCCTCTCTCTCTGCTCCAGCCCCTCGGGATGACTTGCTGTTTCCTCCACACTCCGGCTTTATTCCCACAGAGGTTTCACATGTATTTCCCCCAGCCTTGAACATCTGTGTCCCTCCCGTTCTTCTTTTCGTGACCAGCTTCCTCACTTCTGTGTTCCCTGCGTACCATACCCAAATTAACAGACACTAGATACGTCACGTGTTAACAAGTTCACTTGTTTCTTGGCTGTCTCCCTACTAGAATATAGCAGGTCTTTCAGAATATAGTGGGCACTCAGTCAATCCCGAGTGAATAAATGAATGAAACGGATGAAGTGACCACCAAGCTGAGTTACATGAAGAAAGTTCCTGGCTTAGGGAAGAGCACTGGAAATGGAAAAAGTGGCACATTCAGGAGAGAAGTTCAATATGGAAGAGGAACTGGAAAGTGGGAATGGAATGGACCCAGGAGAGAGAAGCAAGGGTCTTCTGAGCCATGCTAAGCTTTTTCCCAGGTTCCTGGGAGGCCACTGAAAGTTTAGGCAGAGAAACTGAGCCATGTACACGGCCTACAGTGTAGGGAAAGGGCTGGAAGACAAGACTGCAGTCAGCCAGTTAAGACGCAGACATCCGGACCAGAGAGAAAGAGGGCCCAGGCTAGTCATGGCCAAGGGGCCACGGTGAAGTAGTTTGGTCGTGGCAGTATTAAGTAGCAGCTGGGCACGGTGGCTCATGCCTATAATCCTAGTACTTTAAGAGGCTGAGGTGGGCAGATTGTCTGAGCCGAGGAGTTCGAGACCAGCCTGGGCAACATGGAGAAACCCCGTCTCTACTAAAAATACAAAAAATACGAGGCCAACAAACATATGACAAAATGCTCATCATCACTGGTCATTAGAGAAATGCAAATCAAAACTACATTGACATACCACCTCACGCCAGTTAGAATGGCGATCATTAAAAAATCTGAAGACAACAGATGCTGGAGAGGATGTGGAGAAATAGGAACACTTTTACACTGTTGGTGGGAGTGTAAATTAGTTCAACCATTGTGGAAGAAAGTGTGGCGATTCCTCAAGGACCTAGAAATAGAAATTCCATTTGACCCAGCAATCCCATTACTGGGTATATACCCAAAGGATTATAAATCATTCTATTATACAGACACGTGCACATGTATGTTCATGGCGGCACTGTTTACAATAGCAAAGACTTGGAACCAACCCAAATGCCCATTCACGATAGACTGGACAAAGAAAATGTGGCACATATACACCATGGAATACTATGCAGCCATCAAAAATGATGAGTTTGTGTCCTTTGTAGGCACGTGGATAAATCTGGAAACCATAATTCTCAGCAATCTGACACAAGAACAGAAAATCAAACACTGCATGTTCTCACTCATGGGCAGGTGTTGAACAATGAGAACACATGGACACAGGGAGGGGAACATCACACAGTGGGGTCTGTTGGGGGTGGCTAGGGGAGGGACAGCGGGGGGGTAGCTTTGGGAGGAATAACCGGGGGAGAAATGCCAAATATAGTATGCGTAATGGGGGGATGGAGGCAGAAAACCACATTGGCATGTATGTACCTATGCAACAATCCTGCATGATCTGCACATGTACCCCAGAACCTAAGTACAATTAAAAAAAAACAAGAAGAAAAATTCACAACAACAGCACAACAAAATACAAAAAAATAGCTGGATGTGGTAGTGAGCACCTGTAATCCCAGCTACTCGGGATGCTGAGGCGGGAGAATCGCTTGAACCCAGGAGGCGGAGGGTGACAGAGCGAGACTCCGTCTCAAAAAAAAAAAAAAGAAAAAGAAAAAAGGAAAGAAAAAGAAAGAACTTAAAGGATTGAAAGCCTGCATGGAATGGCTCACAGACTGGGTGCCATCTTTGATCGTGAGTTCTGTGAAGGCGGACATTTGTCCCTTCTTAGTCTCTCATGCCTGATATGCCACCTGCTAAATGCGTGTCTCACACTTCCTTTACTTCCCACTCCTTCGATGTGACATAACCACCTGCATTAAGTGTTTGAGGGCAGGAATTACAGGGGAGAGAGATCTTTCTCTTTTGGTCTTGTCATTAAATCAGCTGCCTCAAATTATTTTTAGACTAAGGACAGGTACAAATAAATGAATAGGAAGTTGCTCTCAGAGACAGCGTGCGAGTGTGCTCTTTGTGAAATTCCACCATGGTGTACCATGGCCAGGGTCAGAAAGTGCAGGTTATGGTGTAGCCCATCAACCTCATCTTCTGATATTTACAAAATAGATCGCGGATTCGGGTGTGGCTCTATGAGCAAGTGAATATGCGGATAGAAGGCTGTATCGTTGGTTTTGATGAGTATATGAACCTCGTATTAGATGATGCAGAAGAGATTCATTCTAAAACAAAGTCAAGAAAACAACTGGGTCGGATCATGCTAAAAGAAGATAATAGTACTCTGCTACAAAGTGCCTCCAACTAGAAATGACCACTGAAGTGAGAAATCGTTGAGAAGGACACATTTTGTTTTTAGATGTCCTTTGTCCAGTGTGAACATTTATTCATATTGTTTTGATTACCCTTATGTTATTACAAGATGTCAATAAATGCTATGGGATTTTTTGTATTAAAAAATTTACATTGAAAAAATAAAAATAAGTAAATAAATGAATAGGAATAGTCACACATCTGTGCAGGAATAATTAGACATCTTTGAGAAGGGGAAAACAGGTGTAAAATAGATTTATTTATTTATTTTGAGATGGAGTCTCGCTCTGTTGCCCAGGGTGGAGGGCAGCAGTGTGATCTTGGCTCTCTGCAACCTCAGCTGATTCTCCTGCCTCAGCCTCCCGAGTAGCTGGGACTATAGGCACGTGCCACCACACTGGGCTAATTTTTGTATTTTTAGTAGAGACAGGGTTTCATCAATTGGCCAGGCTGGAAATTTACTTTCAAATAGTAAGGGCCAGCATCATTACAGCTGCAATATAGTTTATTTCTCAGGACAATCTCTCTGGTGTTCTGATTACTAGCTCCATTTTACAGATGAGAAAACGAAGGCTAGGAGAAGCTAAGAACCTTACCCAAGGTCGTCCAGCTAGAGACCCAGCATTCCCGCTCAGCCCTTCTGACTTCAAAGCTTGGCTTCCCTCCACTAGAGTACACCGCTCCTCCCTGATTTCTGGCGTAGACACAGTGGGAAGTAGGAGGCAAGACGAACAGTGGATT